TAATATAAAAAATACAAATAAAAGATAATTAATTATAATCTTCTACCATTAATCATATTTGAATATTTATAATAATTTTTAATTATTAAAAATGTCCTCTTGCAACTATGTAACTAAATCATTTATAACAGGACAGATAATAACACCTCACAAGACCAAGAGATGATACTCAATTGACATATAATAAAATCTTACACAACAATTAAAAACAACACTTGACTTTACAAAATCATACTTCTCGTGACAAAATCCCCCACAAAAATCACCAGCCAGTGCACTACGTTTAGTTATTATACGACCATAATTGGCCTGTCACCATTCCCATTCCAAATATTCCAAAAGTAGCATGATGTCACATGCATCATTGCATCTCCGCCTAACCAAATTGCCTTCTAGTTCACAAGCGTAGTCATGTCCATATGCTACAAGACTCTTAAACAAAGCACACAAAAGCCCAAAAATTTACCTAGCTACCAAACTCGGGCATTTTGATTGCTGAATTGAGACAAGACCTCAATTAAATGAGAAATAAATTCCTTCCCCCTCCAATAATTTCACGTGAAGGATAAATTCTAAGGTGAACCATTCACGCATGGTACCGACATCATCGAGTAATTTTATCTTAGGGGGGAAATAAAAGTCTAATTCTTTCAATAAAAAAAAATATGCCTCCGACAATTCTAAAATGGGATGACATAAGGATTAGGTGTCGATGTGCCTACCACATAACAACAATGAATAATGATGCCTCTATCATTCCTCAGCCTTTAGGAAGGTAAATTTTACCTCCACAAATAGATTTCAGCATCTGAGTTTCTACTACTATATCAGTGTGTAATCAGAAGAGGAATAGGAAGTTTGTTGGGTAGTTATAATACGAAGGGGTTAAGTCATGGTGTCTATAAAAGGGGGCAAGGCATTGTATAGGGAGCACTGCTGTTTGAATGATGATTGAGAATAAGATGAGTCCGTTTTCTGAATCAATTTCTCCCTCTCCCTGATTCTCTTCATTTCTCCCCCTCTTCATTTCTCCCCCCCTTTCTCTCTTTCCCCAATACAATTACACAACAGTATCCGATAGGAATGGTGTCGTGTGGTGACATGCTAAAAAATATAGTTAGCCGATAATTTCTGTACCTATGGACTTAAATGCAATTAGCTCTCCGCTCCTAGTAAGAAAGTGGTGTTATTCTGGGGCACTCCAAGTCTCCAACAAGAGGTCTTTCTCTCACGAAATTTTGCCCGCTGGTTCTACTATGGACAAGAAAGTTGTTCCGCATGCCTCCAAAACTTACACCAACTATGAATTCTTATGACATAAAGAGTCTAATAGAATTAGGTTTCTAAACAAGCCAGTTAAGACACAGATGTTAGCCTGAACTACTAAAATCATGGGATGCTTCCAATCTACAGCATAATTCGTTCACCAATAAAAAAAAAGAAAAAAAAAAAAAAGAAGCATGCTTCTACCAATCAATATATTTAAGATGCAGCTGACAGGATAGTAAATGTAGTGAAATTCAGTACAAGGGCCATACCTGATCCAGTTATATTAAAAAACACACCCAAGCGTTTTGTACAATCTTAAAAGATGATAAGATCCATGTTCAAAAACAAATTGCAGGAATAAAATCTTTAAAAGAGCTAAGAGTCAGCTTACAGACTGAAATTCAATAACAAAGAACATTTTGCAGTGAGTAGTTCATTTAGAGTTAGAGCACATAACATCGTTAACAGAAAAGACAGCAGGAGGAAATCAAATCATTGAATCACTAGTAACTTAAAAAATGATAGCCATTATTCGATATAGATTAAAGTGTCTGAAAATAAATTGCGACTGTAAAACCGAAGTAGAACCTTCTAAAGAAAAGTCATAGCAATTAACAGCTGAAATTATATTGGGTTCCATTAGTGAATCAATCACCCGCAAAGGACTTATGCGATTCCCAAACTACCTCCTCTAGCCTAGCAACATCGATAAGTTTTGCAAATAAAATGACCCAATCAGTTGGTCTTCGGATCCGGCATCGGGAACAGACCGGGACTCGCACCCCTTGGCGGTGCGAATCCCAACAACTTCTGCAAATTTGTTCGAATACTAATCGAACACAAAAAATATAGAAACGCCATGGAACAATCGGTGGAATCGTTTACCCTGCAACCCTCGATGGCTCATCTTCATGATAAGCCCAAACGGTGGAAGGGCAATTTAGCGACTACCTTGCCTTCGAAGAGGGAGTTGAGTAGCCCAAAGACGACGAAGAGAACGAGAGCGACGACACCGCCGGACTTGAACTTAAAGAGGGACAAGTCACGGCTGGATTCTTTGAGGCTGGTCTCGACACGATCGATCTTTTTGGTCTTGGACTTCTTGACGTTAATCTTGTTGGTGTCAACCTTCATGGTCTCGAGCTTCTTGGCGGCTTTGTCGATGGAGGATCGAAGGTTCTTGTAGGAACTGGTGCGGTAGATAAGGACCCATGAGATTGCCTCGCAAACAATCGCAGTGCAGAGAGAGATACCTACCACGGTGAGGCTATCCGCGTATTTGAAATTTGAGAACGGAGATGCCATTGAAAACGAAAACCTGCGAGAGAATGCGGGGCAAACCCAACTGGAATCTTGAATCGGAATTATTCCGGTGGTTCGGGATTTCGGTTCAATTCTAATCTACACTGATTACTGAATTGAACCAAGAACCAAAGGTTTGGGGTGTTTGATCCGAACGCACAGTCCAGCTGGATCACCGTATCAGCTGCATATCTTTTTTGTTTGGCCCATGGATCAGCTTCATCTCTTATTCTTCGATAAACTAGGAGTTCAATAAGGCCCAATGATTTGGACCTATGGAATTAAGTAGGGTTCAAGTTCATTGGACCTATGGCTTTCACGTCCATAATTTGTGAACAATTGAAGGAAACGAGACAACCCACCCCCAGAGGAATGCATTTGGATTTTTTAAAGAAATAATAACTGTGAAAAAATGATATCATATAATATAAAAAAATAATTATATCAAGAAAAAAATAAATTACCATCACTAATTTATTTTTTTAAAAAAGTATTAAAAGGAAGAAAGAAATATATTATTATGCTGGGTAAATTTGATTTTTGTTTCATGCATGGGTAATAATGAATTAGATCACCAGCAAGCACTTCTCTTAAAACGCAACAAGACACATGAAGAGTTCACGTCAAACTTGCAAGAATCATACATTGTCTAAGTTATTTACCGTTAATAAATAATTGATAATCCAATGAGACTTAATAGACGTGCAATTATTCTTATCATTAGCGTCATTATTGTAAAAATATGTAATTTTCTCTGTTATATCGTAAGAAAATTTTTGTTTACTCATGATAAATTGATAACGTAAATATTTTTAAATTATAAGAATAATTTAAACTTTTTAGGATATATTTTCTTGTGTGAATTTTACAAGATTTATGTCCCAGAATGTAATTTTAGCATCCCTTCACCCATTGGATAGCAGTGGAATTTTAAATTTGGCTGCTTTTTAATTTTTAGTACAAGGGATTGGGCTTGCTCAGTACAAGCATCCCATGATAATTCAAGTTAGCTCATTTGGTTGATCAATAAATTGTTAAATCAATATCTTAATCAATTTAATAAAATTTTTAATTTATAATTAGTTTAAATATAATTTTGACTATTATCCTTTAAAGTGTACAGCTAATTTGTGGTAAGTTGTAGTAGATGCACTGGAATCATGCGGTGAGGCGGAGGTGATGGCCACAACGTAGTACACACCTGGACACAATCGAAGGTGTGTCTCAGGCTTAGCATTACCAGGCAGGCACACTTGAATTTCACAATTTCCCAAAAAAACCTATTAATAAATGAATATCTCGAGTGCATAAGAGCAAGCAGAGGGGTATTTTTTTTTTTATTTTTTTGGGGGGGCGGGTGTTTTTCAAGTATCAGAATATTGTTGTTAGAGCTTCTAAAGGGGCAGCAATGGAAGATCATTCAGAAACTCCGTTGTTGCGCGCAAAAGGAGAGCGCTACTCGGTAAGTGCTCTCAAATGCGATTTTTTCTCCAGATTGCCTGATAAGCTTCGATGCGCTCTCCATCCTCACCTCCCTTTTCACCTGGACTTCTCCAAAACTCCTTCCTTGTCTAAAGGTGCTTTTTCCTCCACCTGGATCATGCCTTCCCTTCTTTATTATTACTATTCTTTGCTTTTGCCCGGTGCTTTAGTGTTCATTTGACTTGATGTGTTTCAATTTCATTACATTTTTACGAATTATAACTGCTCATCAGGAAGCTAAGTTCTTGCATTACGAAATATAATGAACTATGACGAATTTCCCAGATCCTGGTTACTAATTCAATTTACTCGGAATAAGGCTTTGGAGACTTCTCCCTCTTGCATCTATACTTTGTTAACCAGTCATTTTTGCCTTCAGCGCTTGCATTAACATGGCTCAACATGCATAAAGTAACACTCACGTTGCTGTTGCTATGATTATTTATAGTATATATCTTCCTTCGAAATTATTAGTTTTCAGGGCTTGGATAAGCTTTATATGTTTATGGCTAAGATATATTTTTAGTCATCTAATTTTATATAAGGTTTCAATTTGATTCTTTAATTTTATAAAGTATATTTTTAATCATTTAACACTAACATTATTAGTTTCAAATAATTTTCTTTTTTGCATCAATCATTGTTATTTTAAAAAAAAAGTTAAATTTAATATGTCAACATTTAAAAATATTTTATCAAAAAATTTAATATAAAAATTTGTTGAGCTAACAATATTAGGATAAAAGGGTTAAAAAAACATGTAAAATTAAGGGAATAGAATGAAATGTTGTATAAAATTAAAGGATTAAATATATACTTTAGTCTTTGTTAATATACACACACACACTTTAGTCTATATTTATCTCCCAGCAATCATCTACTATATCGTCGACATGTCCCAACATCGCCTTTGCGTATTAAGTAGTTTTACTGATGCTCCTCCTTATGGTGCTTAATTTTCACTTCTCAATTCCTGTGGGTTTGATGCGACATTCAAATTAATTATTACTTTCCCAGATCATGTAATTATAAACCACTGTCAATTTTTTACTGATATCTTTGATTATATTGCACCTTACAGTCATCTACTGAATTTGTTCCACGCTATAGTTTGTGTTCTGGCCATCATCCTCATATTTCAAGTTGGTATATATTATAGGGGAGAAAGAGTATTATGAAAAGCAGCTGGCTACCCTCAGGTCTTTCGAGGAGGTTGATTCTAATGAATCGTCCCATGTGAATGTGATCCAGGATGAGCGAGTGCATGGAGAACAAGTGCAGCATGAGAGAGCAATAAACATATCTAATTGGACAAATATTTTGTTGCTTGCTTTTAAGGTTCTTCCTTAATTTCTCCTCTTTCTCATAATATTATCATTTTATTTACTATTCAAAGTAATATATGGTAGCCTGCATCTTTGACGTAGTTGAATCTCATGTTAAATCCGTCTATGGCAATTTAAAGTAACTTGAATTTACTGCTTCGCTTTCATTTCATTTTGTTTGTAGTCTTGTCCTGCCTTGACCACATATATATATTTACGTGTAAAGCGCAGGTACTGGCAACAGTTAAGAGTGGGTCCATTGCAGTAGCTGCATCAACACTAGATTCTCTGCTGGATCTGATGGCTGGTGGTGTTCTGTGGTTCACGCATGTTTCGATGAAAAGGACAAATATCTACAAGTATCCCATTGGGAAATTGAGGTTGCAACCAGTAGGCATTATCATCTTCGCCGCCATCATGGCTAGTCTGGGTATATACGTTGTCTCTTCTACACTTCTTTAAATCCCGAGAAGACAAGGTTGAAAATTGATTCGTAATAACTATCGGTGAATATATTTTCCTTTTAATTCATTAAATCCTTTGCCATGTTGCCCATATTCTTTCTGCTTCTCCACTAGTACTGTATAAACAACGGAAATTCTAGAACTGATAGTTCCACATTTAAGAGTATAACTATAGCTAGAGTGATTTGTTCGTTCTGGGATTATTTTCAAAGGCATTCAGGTGCTGATTGAGGCTGTCGAGCAACTGATTAAAGGCGCACCGTCTGAGAAGATGAACTCAGATCAAATGGTTTGGTTGTGCATAATCATGCTGACAGCCACTGGAGTAAAGCTTTTACTCTGGTTTTACTGTAGAAGTTCACGAGACAAAATAGTCCATGCCTATGCAGAGGTTTAATATATATATTTTCGGTTCACAGCTTGTGAAAGTTTATTTATTGACTTGATCGTCTCTATAAGTCTCGGAGTTTAATTTCGTCGCTTCTTCTCAATGATTACCTGCAGGATCACTTTGTTGATGTGTTCACCAACGGAGTGGGTCTGGCTGCTGCGGTGCTTGGTGAGAAATTCTATTGGTGGATTGATCCCATTGGTGCTATTATGCTAGCACTCTATACAATTTCAAATTGGTCCGAAACAGTACTTGAAAATGCAGGTACTGTGTGTGTGTGTGTGAAAAGAATCCAGGAAAAGAGAACAATTAATTAACTATGATTTCTCTATTTTGTAGATTTTATGATCTGTTTATATCCCATATTTTGATGGTGGTTCCTACTTGATGTAGTTTCTCTGATTGGACAATCAGCTCCTCCACAAGTGTTGCAGAAACTGACATACCTTGTTTTGAGATACCATTCTCAAATCAAACGCATTGACACAGTCCGTGCTTACACTTTTGGATTTTTATACTTCGTTGAAGTAAGTTCATGTGCTCCGATACACTGCTTTTTAGTTTGTTTAAATAATCTCCAACTTCTCATTCCAGAAGATCATGAAGAATCTTGTGTACGTTTAGGAGCAAATCTGGCGAAAGGGCACTCTCGAGGTTGCTACATTAAAAATCTGAAATAGCAGCATATTCAGTGAAAATATGAAAACCTACCTCAAAATAGAAGAAAAATCTAGGAAATGAGGTAAAATAATAATGAAATGAAGAGGTAGTAAAACACGAATAGTTTGGAAGCACATCATAGGCGTTGTTGAGTAAATGAGGTACCGAATTAGCCCTCATTTCACCAACTTCAGTGGCCTATAAACACATGCAATCTAGATTAGGGGCATTTAATGTGCTCTTCTCTAATGCCCTAACATCTTAATTTTGTATAATCTAAGTAGATACATATCAGTGTAATAAAATCGTAGTGCAACCTTATAATGTGTTCGCGCTGCAAACTTGAGCATGAGAAGAATCTTAAACTCTAGAATAAATCATCCAGAAAAACTAGCCTTAGCTTAGCTCAATCAAATACGATGTAATATCCAACGTAAAGCAGAGCTTACTCATTGCATGACGTATATAGTTTGCTTTTAACGTATTTTGGTGGATAGTTTAAGCCCAGGCATACAATTATATCTAAAGAGGATTTTTGGATAAGGTGGACATAGAACTACCAGAGGATCTACCACTAAAAGAAGGACATGAGATTGGAGAATCATTGCAGATAAGAATCGAAGAACTTCCAGAAGTAGAGCGAGCATTTGTTCATCTTGATACTGAATGCGATCATAAGCCAGAGCACATTATTCTTAACTCACTTCCCACCATCCAGGCATGACAGTAAGCCTCTGGTGTCACTTTTTAAGCCAATAAATCATGATGTTATTAGTCTCTTCATTATCAATAAC